CTAGGGAAGTAACGAGAGGGATCCTCTAATATTGTCATGTCACTAGGTACCCGCTCATAACTAGACAGAGGAAAAAATTTATAAATTATTCATTTCCACAAACATACATGTAATATACAAGTATATTTTTCCATCCTGTAGTTACATTTCTTTTATTTTTCAATCATTAAAGGGGATATGAATGATATTCTTTAAAAAAAAAAATTCTTCAGTTTTCATTACATTTTCAACACAAACTAAATCAAATTAATTTTTCTCACATTATAGACTCAAAAGAATATAAATGTAAATTAAGTTTCATTTCCAAGCTACAAATTCTAACAGGTTTTGCAACTTTCTTTTACAAAAAAAATATCTCTTGTTGTGAACTATTTATTTCACTGTACATTTAAGAAGGTCAAGGATAATTCCTAAATCACAAAAATCAGTCATTGCAGATATATTTCAAACTGACAAATTGTAAAGAAAACTTATCATGAATAATATGTGGTTAACAGTACCTGATAAGAATATTTTCCATGGGTTTGGTCAACATGATGCAGCATGGTGTCTCTGACCAATCCCTGCTTAGGGGTGGCTTCCTCTTAACCATTGTCTCTTTCTCCTGTTTTGGAGATTTCTTGCTCTTCTCTATCTGGGAACCTCCTTGTTTAAACTTCAGGGCAAATACTTTTGTTTTGAGTTCCTTCAGCACTTTGTATCTCATGGAACCTGAGGCTCCTCCCAGGAAAGCCGCTTTGATTGTCATGCAGGGAGCTTTGGAAGTGGACAATCTCAAAAGCAGGAAATGGGTGGGATGCTCTTTAGAACTTTGAGACTCTCCCCTGAAATGACCATTTCATTCATAAACCAAAGGTTATATGACTTTATTAAAATTATTATTAACTATGCATAGCATTTGAAACACTGGATGAAATTCTAAATTCTTGTTCCTTCAGAATACTTTATTAAAAGAAAGACTACTGTTACTAAATTAGAGTCCCTGCCCTGCACCCTTTTGAAATATCCTTAACCAAGGACATTTTTAGACAAGTTTTGTTGCAATAAAGCCAGCAATTAGTAAGGAAATGTTCTTTAGTTTAAAGAAAGCAAATAACAAATATCCAAAATTTCACACAACAGACATTAAACAATAAGTTACCTCAGAAAATTGTTTTCATACTTTCCTAAACAAGAGGCCCAGGGGCCACATCGCTCACCTGAGTAACATGGGTGATGCAGTTCTTTACCAGATCCCCCTCTTGTTATACCTATCTTGGCCCCCTACTCCCCTCCCCTATATTGATTTTAATACTTTTCAAATCTATACTACCCCAGGATGCTTCCACATAAGTTTCAGCTTTCCTGGCCCAACAGTTTTTGAGAGGAAGATTCATAAATATTTTTTCTATATATTTCTATGTAAAACTTGGATACCCTGTTGTGGCCCCACCCTTCCCCCGGGGTGTCATGATTTTAACAATTCAAAATTTACACTACCCCAGGATGCTTCTATATAAGTTTCAGCTTTCCTGGCCCAGTGGTTCCTGAGAGAAAGATTTTTAAAGATTTTTTCTATATATTTCTATGTAAAACCTGGATTTCCTATTGTGGTCCCGCCCTACCCAAGGGGGTCATGATTTTAACAATTTAAAATCTACACTACGGAAGTATGCTTCCACTTAAGTTTCAGGTATCCTGGCCCAGTGGTTCTTGAGAAAAAGATTTTTTAATGACCCCACCCTATTTTTGTCTTTTCTTGATTATCTCCCATTGTAATGGAACTTGGCCCTTCATTTTAATAATTTAAACTCCCCTTTCACCCAAGGATGCTTTGTACCAAGTTTGGTTAAAATTGGCCCATTGGTTCATGAGAAGAAGTCGAAAATGTGAAAAGTTTACAGACAGACGACTGACAAAATGTGATCAGAAAAGTTCACTTGAGCTGAAGGCTCAGGTGAGCTAATAAGAGACCTGAGCAACAAATTTACAAAACACAAGTACATACACTGTACTTACTCATACAAATACTTGACATAAGCAGTGTTTTCCACCAGTACAAATGTACTCCAGCTCTGGAGGAGGGTTTGTAGGGCCAGCTGAGCTTGTCGACAGAAGACAAAGTAGAACCTCCCACAGGAGTCGGGGATGTGTAGGTACTTAGACAAGGGGCGGTCATGTTCCAGCACCATACCTATCCGGTGACTGTGCATCCACTTCTGCCTGCAAGTCAAAATGTCGGTTTTCTTTTTTACTTTGATGCTTGAACTATATGTATTTGTTAGTTTAGTGATAACTTTTAGATGTTCTTATTATAAAAATTAGTTAAGTGTCTAAGGAAAAATTACACAAAATACCCCTAACAGCACTGTTGGAGGGGATATAAAGAGTTTTGTCTCTTTGGTTGAGTGCATGCTTGTGTATTAAAGAAATTACACAACTTTTTTTATAAGATTTGATGTGCTCTTTTGGGATGGATGTCCGCTCTGTGGTAACCTTGTTTCTGAAACTTTTCTTACCAAATTTTTGTGTCTAAATGAACCACTGGTTTCCAGAATGTGACAAACTGATTTAAAACAGCATCCCTGTGGAAAAATGAAAGAAAATTCACAACAACATTTAACATAAAGGTATTCCTCACTGAACAGTTTAAAAAAAATTTAACATTTTGCGGAGTGAAATGAAAACATTTTTAACACACAACGAAGATTCAATACAAATTTAACCAATATAGTAGAAGACAAACTTTGTGTTGTGTTGAGAGTTGAGGGTTGGGGCACTAGACTGGAGGGGTATGTAGAACACAGAGAGGCCATTCTTTATACTGTCCGGTAACTTGTAATTTACAGGATTGGAAGCAAAGCCCTGAAGGTGGCTCAGTAACACATCACTCTGGCGAAGTCTGAAATATTTTAATATAAATACATAACTGTAAACAAAAACATGGGCATGTTGTTTGCTGTGCAGATATATTTGATAAAGGTACATAAGGATGATAACACTTAATGCATATTTCCACATTTAAATTACATGTTCAGGCAAATATCTCAAACAGTGAAACTTTATAAGCTGAGAAAAAATGAGATATTTAACTATTTCAGATATTGAGGATAATTTTAAAAATGTACTTAAGATCAAGATCTAGTAAATAACTTCAGACTAATTTTTTAGTGCTAGATCCATTATGACGTCATAATCAATTTCAACTTTCTTTTTCCCGTACTTTACGACTTTAGCAGAATTATGTAGAAAATGGGGTATGTTCATGTCATTCAATTTGAAATCATGTGAAAAGTAAACCGGATATCTATACTAAATTTAATATTGATTTAAAGAAGAGGCCATGAACATACTAATTACCGTTTTCTGAGAGACTGTAGGCAATCTGGATACATTTCCTTTGCCGAATACGAAAAAAAACTCGTATATTTATGCCTGTTTTTATTAATTTTTCATTGAAAATGACAGTTTAAAATACACTTTTTCATCTTGTTTACCTACAAATTATGCCCCGAAACACCTTATTTGACCAAGCTAAAGCTGTAAAGCATCGATAAAGGAATTTATTTCTCAAGTTTGATAAATCTGTAGGCATCTTTCATTTACTAGATCTTGACCTTAAAGAATAAGTGATCGACATCCAAAGCACTTTGAAATACCCATGGTATTTGAGATGTTTCCCAGAGTTCTACTGTATCTTTTCAATTATGTGTTACTTGAAGTATTTAAATCATATTGGCTTGCATAAATCTATATGATATATCTGATATATTTCTGAGATTTATAGAAAGTTTTGAGATATTAGATACTGACTTAGTAAGTGCTAATAGGAATTTCTTTCTTCTATTGAGTCGGATGGGACTCCACCTGGACATTGTCAGAGTACATTCATTGGAGAAAGCATCATGTAGGAATTCATAGCTCCCTTCCACAAACATTTCAACATGGGTCTGGTGTTGTCTGCCAAAACAAAAAAAAAATGAGAAAAAAAAAAAGTATCCTGTGCTGATCACTTTTTGTGGAACCTTATATTTAGCTTGACACATCTGAAATCCCTATTACAATTTTATCTATCCAAAACGTCCATGAATCTTTTCCATTAAACTCTTATTTACTCTTCATGACTGAAATTTCTCCAAACTTTTTTTTAACATTGAATTAACCTGATTACATGTAACTTTTGTAACTAACTTGGATTTTCTTTCAATCTCTATCAAACTTTTGTCAACTTTCACTTTTTCCACAATTTCACATTTCAATTTCAGATTTTGTCACCTTGATTTATCCTGTGGCCAGGCAGCAGTGGCACAATACTCTATCTTGACATAGTCTCTCCATAGCAAGGCCAGCTCCACCTTAATCTGAGTTTCTCCTGCACAAAAATCAATCTTCAGTAAAAAAAAAAATCTTCCCTAAAAGGCTTTTGCTCCCACATGAGAAAATTTTAAATAAAAGTATCTGATCACTGAATCCTATGTAAAATCTTTGTAAATGTTCACCTTTACAGGAGAATAACATGTTTAATTGATAACAATATCATCTTCAGATGTGCACTCAGTAAGAACAAGGATAAAATTTGTATCTTTGAACACAGATAATGCCTTTCTAGGCATTTGATTTTAAAGTTATGAGAATCAGCAGTTACATCATTGAAAATACTCAAAAACTGTCTATGTAACTTCTTGCATGAAAAGATCTCAATTTCCAACTTCATTTTTAGATCTTTTTAAATAAAAATAACTATTTCCTGACTAAGGAATTCATATCCTTAAAAGCAGTTAATAGGATTTATCATAACTTCTTTTCTAAACTTGTATCATTCTATTTCGGTCAAAGCAGAAAGCATGAGGGGGTTCTTCCTTTACCTCTTAAGAAGATGATATTCCTCAGAGTGAAGCCCTCTCTAAGCCTGATTGACAGGACACTGGAGAGAGAGGTGTTCAGTTTTACATCCATCTGCCTCTTCCTCTCAATAGGAATTAGGTCGGGGTAATCTTTGAGGGGATGTGCATACACACTGTTAAAGAAAACATGCCATATGTTAACATTCTGTAGGCAACCTTTTTTATGCATGGGATTAATGTTTGCTACAAACATTCCATTTTTTTACCCATGGAAATTTGTCACAGTGTTTTAAATTGTAGTATTAAAGGGTATTTTATCATTACAATAAAGAGCAAATAACATGGCATGGTAAATTTTTTTTTATTAAGTGGACAAAACATAAAAAAAATTATATTATTCTCACAAACAGAGTATATTTAAATATTTGCAAAACACAGTCACTGTTGGGTTTGGGGAAAAAAAACTTTTACAAAGTTAAGGGCAAACTTCCTCCATTTGATTCTATCACCTACAGTGTATGAGATGAGATTCTTACTTGATGTAGGAACAGGCACTATTGTTGTAGCCAGGTAGAACATGTAGAGGTTCCCTGATAGATTTCTGGAAACTCCAGATCAGCAGCTTTCTGTGGTAGTCTTCTTTCTGGAATGTAGTCACCGATTCTTAAAACACCACTCCAAATAAACAATTGCTGCAAGTTGATAAGACTTTGCTCCATGCTTTCATTCATAAAAATATAAAATTGTTGAGAATATTGCAGAATCACTTGGAATGATTTTTTGGAGGATTGATGTTGCAAGCAATTCAAATTTTTTATTACTTTGTGGGGGCAAATCACTGAACTGACAAACTGACACAATTTATTGATCATGGGGATGTAAATTCATGGGTAAGAAATCCACGAACGTTGATTCCCCACAAACATGATCATACCTCAAAATTTACTGCCATGTTTAAATATTTTGTGCTTTATTAATTAAAAATTTAAGAAAGTACCTCATCAGGTGGGTCTCCTATATATGTTCCGAATGTGGTGGATGAGATGAACTGTAACAGTTCTACATGAGGCACCAGCCCAAAGGAGCAGCGAGCGCACTGAGTTTGGCCGATCCTGAGAAATGAGCACGCAATGGTGCTACTCCTCAGCTGGGCCAGCAAAGTATCAAATAGATTTAAATCTGTCACTCCCAACATTCCATCTGTCACAACAACTATTCCTACAAAAGCAAAGGATATTGAGATGAAAGGGAATTCTAAAGGAGTGTATCTGGAAAAGACCCATTCATACTTAGGAAAATTCTGTCTCATTAGAGAACAAAACTTGGCTTAAGGTCACTGCACATGCACCCCCAACTGGCAGTCTATGGAAACGTTGGAAAGAATGGTAGAGATACTGTTTTCTATTAAGTAAGAACACTCAGCCACAAGTAGCACCAACCTGCACTAGAGTTCTCCGGCAGTAACTGCAGAGCAAAGAACCCCTGTCTGAGTAAGTTAATGATGCCAGCCTCGGGATTAATGGCCAACTCAGCCGACTTGTTCCTGGTGCGAGGTTTCTGATCTGGGTTTGAATGCTCCATCCTTGATAAACTGTCTCCAAGATTTGTCTAATCAAAAAAAAATATTTTGCATGTATTATGACAGATCAAGTGCTTGGTGATGTCACAAAAATAAGTTTGGCTATTTTGGAGGTTATTAAAATTAAAAAAAAAATTGGTATGTGCTGAATTAACCATTGCTCATCCCTGAACAGACTTTCATGTTATAAAATTCCTATCTCTTAAGGGGGCCGACTATAGTTTTATTGTGTGAAACCTACAATAGCGAAACTCTTCATATTTATACCATATATAACTTACATTAACTTCAGTGTACATGCAAAGTTTGGGGGAAATCTACCGTCCAGGTATTTTTGAGGGACCGTCTCAAAATACAGGTACATTTACTATAGGATTATATAGGAAAATGCCAATTTTTAGCACTTTAAAGCAAATTATACAAATACTACAATAGACATTTTGTTCAAACTATAATATTTGATGAGTAATACTATATTATACAATATATGTATGAAACACAAAATTCTACCGTCTTGTTACCAGAGGGGGCATCTCAAAATGCAAAAAATTTAGCAAACTTTACTATTTTTATAGAGTATTAGAAAATATGACGTACATTATGGATTCACATGAAAACATAATAAAAATATTGTAGATATTCTCAAATTTCTATATTTAAATTTCAAGAGCGTATGTTTATTACTTTTTCTTTAATAATATTTTTATTACCCCTTTCTTTAAGAGCTACAGATTAGCATAACGTCAAAAACACACTGCAACGACGTCAACCTACCTATCAATTGCAAAATCGGTTAAAAAATCAGTTATATCAAATTGTAATTACATTCTTATACCTATCATTTCTTAATTTTGTTTAATTTTAATAATTAAGCGAAAAAAGTTGCATTAAAACAGTAAATACGCTTCATTTTACTAGGATGCGCAAAATATTGCGCAATGGAAACTATAGTCGACCCCCTTAATTTGTTGTAATACAGAATTCATCTTATTCAGATGCTACTTTTCGTCTATCAGGTACATATTTAATAGCATTTTTCCTAGTTTTATGCTGTTTGTGAGTACTAAATTTTTATATAAGACATGTCAAGTGTAAATCAATACTTTGAGCAGATTTACATCCTTAAGCTTAATTTTATGGCACATGATGTCAGATCTTACCATGTCTGGAGAAGGCAGGTTGATGTCGTTGTACAAACTCTGCTCAAACACCTGTAAACTGGTTCTCACTGCATCTAACACCACAGCAACATTGGCAGCAGTCACTCTAATGCCCTGAACTAAAACCTGTCAATATGCATAACATCTTATGATTAGAAAGAAAGCTCACATTCCTTTGGCATCTCATGATTATATTGATCAAGAGTTGCCAGAAGCTTGCATGTTTTTGGTATTGTTTTAAATTTTGATTTGGCATTATTTTTTATCAGTCTTCAAATTTAAAAGCTGAAAAAAAATGTATGGAAAACTGCCTGTTTTAGTCATACTCAGCTTCAACCATTTAGGTTGAAGATAAGTATAACTAAAACAGGCAAGCTTACTGCCTTCTTTATAAAATGTTACATACCTGGTTTGTGGTACAGACCACCATAGGGGTGTGGGCAATGACAGTGATGAACAGCTCTGACTCAAACAGTAAGTTTGTCCCAGGAAGTGGAAACTGTCAACAGAGGGAATCACTTGTAAAATGTGCATATTTTAATTAAACGAATCTATAAAATCTATCATATAATCTATCTTATCAAATCAAGAACCCATGATCCCAAAGTTAAAACATTCATTCACTAAATGAAGATGAAATCATTAAGTGATATGTTAAATTTATCAAAAAAAAAAAAAGTTCCTCACTGGTTTCACCAATCCAAGCAAACATTTCTTCAAGCTGTCAAAAATCTTGTCTGCAAACACTTCTCCAGTTTTCAAGTCCTTAAAAAACAATTATGAATTAATTTCAAGGTAGTTTTATCAGCTAATAGACTTAAAGTCAGAAAAGAATTGATTTATAATAGAAATCTGAGAGTTTAGAATTTCCATATTTGGATGTAATAAATTATCAATTTATTTGTTAGATAACACTTTGACTTTCATATGTGCAGTTTACTGTACTCTTTTTCAATGTTCATTCAGTGAATTCAAACAAAATTTACAAATTTTTTTACTTCAGTAAATTAAATTGTAAATATTGTTTAACTGTGACATTAAAATGTGAAAAATATAAAACAAAGACATACCACAGAGAGAGCTGAGGGGCTGAAGTCTAACACAAAAACAAGTCTGTATCTCTTGGCGATGAAATGGACGACAGTGGAGGGCACCAGGCGGAAACTGATAAAGGCCCGGTCAGTCAGAGGTGGTGGGGAGGCATTGGGGGAATCGTCAGTCCCAAAACGGACCACTGCCTCCTCCTCCATCACCACCCCCACAACGGTCAGCTCTTTGTTGGTCTCCTCCTAAAAAATGCATGGACATAAGTTTATTTCTGGACATATTAAATTTATTTCAGTCTTTAATGTATTTACAGTATAATGTGCTTATAGTGAACATGCTTATAAAGAAATATTTACATTCACTGTGTTTTTCTACTAAGCCAACTGTGAAATTGACTTGAATACCATTTTCGTGTATACTAAAAACATTCCTTAATTAAAGCTTAAAGCAGAGTGCTTTTTATTCCCCATGGGTTGTTAGCAAATTGTTTATCTAACAGATATCATAACAAATTACATTTATAATGAAGTAAAAATGCCCATCTTTGGCACTTCCTTATAACTGTATTTTAAATTAATGTATATTTCATAAAATGATTTTGACAACTGAATCTCCTGGTACATAAATGAGAACTTACAGCACTTAAATTATCTACTTTAAATTATAACCCTTTTTAAATGTACATAATTTTGTTTTTTTAGTCATTCTCCGTGGAATTACTGGAGCATTAAACCCTGAAGTTTTCACTCCATAAAGGGAAAAAGGAAGAAGGAGAGGAATACCAATTGTTTTGCGTGCCACTTGTGTGGGATAATTGTACATTAATTTTGTATATATCTATATCAACATTTTAACTACATAATTTGATGAAGTTGTATTCAAAGAGGGAAATGTATGAACCAAGGACCATTATTCTACAAAGTGTAATCATTGAGGTAATCCACTCACCACACATGATTCTGGAGAAAATTCTAATACTGAGTTGATGTGATGAAAAAACCATGATGCTCTTATGTTCCTTGATATTCTGTAATCTTTCTTCATTAACAGGTACACGTCTTTAGCTGGCAACACCTATAAAAATAATATTTACAACATCAATAATAACAAACTGTGAGAATACGACAAGTCAGCTGATCTTACAGAGGAAATTCGATCTGCAAAATAAAACACGTACTCTTTCTTCAGATCCATTTTCACTATCACTTTCTGAGTCTCCCATGTTCAAGAAAAAAAATCAAGTCATCAAAGTTCTTTCTTCAATGCATTGTTTCCATTCTGCATCATTATTCATTATTTATGGCAGAAATCTTCTGCAAGATGCAGCTGTATCATCCACAAACATCGTGTTTACAAAAATATAGATCTAGGTCAATAATCCTGGTCAGTGACAAGCTTGTCGTATAAAAAATCAAAGTACTGAAAGTACTGTTAGACGGAGGCTTCATGTATGAGAGAACACAAAAGAAATATATATATCATACATAGCTGTAAAGAATATTTTGAGAAATAATGTGTAGTTTTTTTTTCAATTCAACATTTTTTTCAAAGGATACTCCAATATTCATGAGGTTTTTGGGATATTATAATTTCATCTTTGTAATGTAAACTTCGCCATGATTAAAGTTCACTGTTATTTAGATGAGATACTTTCAATATTAAACCTTTCAACATAAGAAACAGTAATTGACTAGGCCTGGTTGACATAAAACTTAGACGGGCTAACTTTTTATCCCAGTTTCACTTAAAGAATATATAGTGGAAAAGTGAGACTGAGATCAAAAGTGAGCTTGTCTAATATAAGTTGTATGCCCCCAGGCCCGGTTTGATGAATGTAGGTCTAGTATGTTCTAGTCATGAGCCCACTGGCGGAATTAAAAGGGGCCCCTGGCCCCGTCCCTTTTGAGTCCAAAAAATACGCAATATTTGATAAATGAGTGTTTTAATTGTGGCTGTGGGCCCCTTCCCTGACCTCAACTGGTCCCCCCTTTTCAGAATTTCTGGATTCAGCACTAGGCCTCAGCCAGTCAGGAGTTTCCATATTTCAAGATATCTTATTTATAGGTCACAGAAACCTACTGTTAACATAATTATGACATGTAACAGCTACCAAAATCAAAATTTCTCGGCCTTATTGTAATAATGTTATGATATGAGCTAACATGGAAAAAGAAGCAGCCAGGTAATTGGACATGAACAACATAATATAGCACAGTTTGTCTTAAACCTTTGTGATACAAAATGGAGTGACCTAGCTTGATGCAACACAGATTTTTCTTTAAGTAATATAAAGTCATTAACATGCAATAAATGTTCGTGCCAGAACACAATTTTTTGAGTGGAATAAAATATACTTTCTTACTTAAAGTAAACAGAACAATAAAGTTCATAATACTTGCTATTTCACAAGTTTAAATTGTTTTTGGAGAACTGGGGTATTGCTTACAATAACAAAGATATATCTTGACAAATTTGACAACCAATATTTCTGGAATTATTAAATGTAGTATTTTATCATATGACAGATTTAACCCAAAAAATGTCTTTCTTTACTCGTATACCAGTGGAAATGGTTGTCCTTTTCAGTTTATCTGTTTAAAACAATCATTAACAATGAGACATGAGTACAAATTACGTAGAGAAAAGTAATAAATATATAACTATGATTTCTGCTTTTCAGTAACTCTGTTCAAACAATCACTTCTCCAATGATGTAGGTTAAAAAAAGTTGACATGAATACCAATGATCAGAAATACATGTAATCTTGTATATAAAAAATAATTAAAGTTTGAGATGTGAAAGAGGTAAAACACAAGTATCAAATAAGGATCAACGATATGACAATAAGACAACTTAATTATTTCAGAAGATATAATTTTTAATTATTAATTAGGATATAATGTGATAAATCATGTAAATCCTATGAACCAAGATTTGGGTTGTACCCAAGGGTCAAAAGTTACAAATGCATTTTGATCTCAATATCAGAGTTGCCGTTTGTTTCTCTCTTATCTAATGTGAGGGTACCCCAAACACTCAAACCGCTTGTCGAAAGTGTAAATCTTTTTTCATGTGTTTCCTAAAATTATACATAATTACAAATAAAGAATTCAAAACTAGACTGTTAATATTCCTACAGATAAAAATACTATGCATTTGTTTATTCATCGATCCTTGTCAGACTAAAAAACTCCATGAAACCTATTGATGCAAGCGTCAAAAATCGGCCGCAAACCAATTTATCGGCCCTTTCAAGAAGAAATTAGAAAAGGAGTGAAAATGAGATTACAAACAGCAATCAAGCACAAAAAATTCCATTAAAACTGAAATGCTTGATCTATTATTAAAATGTCTTATATTTATACCTGCGACATAAAACATTTGCATGCGGCATTGCAGGATTTTCTTCAATACATAATACAGGTACATCTGCGTCTCCACACTTAGTTTGATACAGGCGAATTCTGGTGGAAGTTTTTACAATTAAATATAAAACTAAAGTTTAAACTTATCTATAACTAGAGATAGTTTTTACTTTAATAAAAGAAGCAATTGATAAGTGGGGTTCCTCGATCACTCTTCGCGGTTGTTACCCCCCCCCCCCCCAAACTCCCTCTAGATCCGCCACTTCATTTCTTCTCGTTCTTGTTTTGGTGTGAGAATCGGTGGGAAAAGGCTCGGCATATTGTAAAACACGCTTTATCATCGTCTGTTGGAACAAAATCTCCTAATATTCTGTCTGATAAAAAATTAACAGTAAATTACATTCTTTTTTACATATTCCGTAGGAAATGTATTTATATGTACACGTCATTTTAAAAATATTAGACAAATCCTGTTTATTTAGAAAAAGTAGAACTGTTTGTTTATACTTGTATGTGACGCGATCTTTGTTTTAGACTATGCCTATCCTTGCGGTCGGTGTTACTCAGAGTCGCTCTAAAAATAGAATTCTCAAGGTAATGAAAACAATTCCACCGATAGATGGTGCTTGGGAAATCTTTCCTGTTTACATTCCATGGGCAAGACAATCCCTATACCCGGAGGCTGTCATACAGCCTCCGTCTAAAAATTACTCGTATCATAGGCGTCGGAACCTGTATGGGGGGGGGACTTTGCCCCCACCTTTTTTTCAAATATATACGTTACATTATATAGGCATGGAAAATTGTGGTTTACCTTTTTTTGTTGGTTTAGCCCACACACACACTTTCAATATTAGCCCCCCCCCCCCCCACTTCCAATTTTTTCCCGATGCCTGTGCGTACTGAATTTTAACCATTTGACAGGACAATTTTTAATAAAACATACCAGTAAACAAGTTTTTCCTTAAATTCTCTCGCGTCGATTAGGTACGGAAGCGTATCAGGGCCGCAGCAGTACATCTTTTTGAAAATTTATTTGGGTATGCGTGAAATTTTTATTATAAAAATAAGAGCCTGCTGGAAAAGCTCTCAACAGTCCCACTAAATACTGAGATTTTTGATGATTTTGCCTGGCTTTCGTAGATCTGTATATACATTTCAAATTTTGTCAAAAATTGTACTTTGTTTATCAAATTACTAATTTCTTTTATTATACATTAGCCTACTAATTTGTTATATCAAAAAATAATTTGTTTTAACAAATAAATAATCTGTTATAACAAATTATCAATCTGTTATATCAAATTATTAATCTGTTATATAAAATTAATAATCTGTTATGTCAAATTATCAATCTTTAATCAGTTATAACAAGTTAGCAATCTGTTATAACAAATTAGTAATTAATCTGTCATACCAAATTACTAATGTGTTATAACAAATTATTAATTTGTTTAAGCAAATTACTAATTTGTTTAGACAAAATATTAATTTGTTTAAACAAATTAATAATTTGTTTAAATAAATTACTAATTTGTTAAAACAAATTAAAAAAAAAAGATACTGCTGCGGCCCTCATATACGGAAGCCCGTTGAGGCCAGTTCAGAGAGAGAAATATTTTTTATTGCGTTTAATCGCAAAACTTTGCGTTTAATCGCAATAATCATTGCGTTTAAACGCAAAACACCAATAATATTGCTTTTAATCGCAATAATTTTTGCGTTTAATCGCAATAACTTTTGCGTTTAATCGCAAAAATTTTTGCGTTTAAATGCAATAAATTTGCAATTAAGGATGTACAACACACCTACCCCAAAAAATTCCTGTCGTTTAATTTTCGTTATTTTTGTATATTTAGTACATGACTATATCTTCTGCATGTATGCACATTTTGGACAAAATCGTTCGAGTGGTTTTTGGACAGGAACTTCCAAAAGTTACCCCCCTTTAGTTGTTTACAAGGAGGGAAAATTTTTAATTAATGAACTACTTAAACCTTGATTTTCAAAAAAGTCAGGTTAGATATAAATGTCAAATTTCATTGGCTTATTCCATTAACCATTTAACACAAAAACATAGTCATCTTTTTGATGTACATATCATCAAAATAATTTTTAAAGACCATAAACTGAAAAACTATGAATTATCTAAGCCTTGAAAATTGCGTATTTTTCAAATTCAAAATTTTTTTGTGAAAAAAATTGTCGTTTAATTTTGGTAAGAAACTTTCTTTAGGTAGCTGGTAGTAAAAATAATCTTCATAATTTTTTGTATAATTTTTGTACGACCAGTTTTGATATAATAGCGGAAAATTGCCCCCTCCCCCTTTCTAAATAAATCACGTTCCCGCGCGTCTCTCAGACGGGGGTCGATCACTGCTATGAATCTACAAATACACATTTTTAAAAAAAATCAAATTGGAATATTGCTTTTGCTTCAAAAATATATTAACTTACAAATTTAAAAGTTCTCATATGTAAAGCAGATTTAAATGTAGATTTTTAGGCAATTTTTTAATACACCTACCACCCCCACCCCTTCCTTTTTTGCCTCGCAGACCAATAGCGTTTGACGAAACGTCGTTTACAGTGCAAATATATACTAGTATTTCGTCATTTGAATCCCGGAGATATGCATTAGTTTTTAAATTCATGAATGCAGAATAAATATTGACTACTGGTTTTATATGTATCAGGAAAAAATTACTGAAAGATTTTAGTGTTTAGTCCCTATATGTATGCGTTATGCATTCCATATCACATGAAACCTGGATACGAATTCAGGTTATGTTGAACTTGAATATGTTGATTTTTAATTTTATTTCTTTAATTTCATTTATAAAAAAAATGGTGTATGTTCAACTCTCCTGTGATATATATGGAATAATTGTAGTTTCTTTCATGTCATTATTTCAAACGAGACAGTATGTGGCCGTGGGGATACATCGACATTTGCATAGATGTACACCCCTCATGATATTGTACG